GGGGGCCACTTGGGGACCTCGTGGGAGCCTCGTGGGGGCCTGACAGGGGTCTCTCGAGGGCCTCTCGAGGGCCTGGTGTAGCTGTCTCGAAGGCCCGGTAGCTGCATGGCGACGGACTTCCGCGCCGCGGCAGCGGGCGTCCGAGGAGAAGGCGAGTGACGCTGGGCACGAGAAGTCGCTGAGGGCGATCATCGTGCGCACGTCCAAGTCGCTGATCGACTCGGCCACGTCAAGCCACGGACACTGCACCACGTTCTACCACATCGAGCTCTCCGACCCCGCGGACACGCGGACGTTCACGAAGAGGTACAGCGATTTCAGGGCCCTCGACAAGAGGCTGAGGAAGACCAGCCCGGCCCTGCACCGGGCCCTGCCCGAGCTCCCCGAGTCCGGCATGTTCGGGCTGCGGCACAGCCTGGGCCTGGAGAGCTTCGAGCGCAGGCGAAGGGAGGGCCTGCAGGCCTACCTGGACGTGGCGGCGGCCGAGCTGGACGAGGCCACCCTCCGTGCCTTCCTCGGGGCGCAGCGGGACTCCGCCCCTTGGCCGCCCGGCTCTGCGCCGCCGCCCGCGGACGCCGGCGACGGCGAGGGCTTCGTGAGCGCCACCAGCGGGTCGGAGGGCGACAACGCGGGGGCGGGCGCGGGGGAGGCCGGCACCGGCGCCAGCGGGGCGGCCGAGGCCGGCCAGGGGAGTGGCGTGCCGCCGCGGGTCAACGGCTGCGGCTGCGAGGTGGACGTGAGCAGCCCCCACATGCCGGCGGTGCAGAGGTGGGTCCCCGACAGATGGGGCCCCGAGGGCAGGAAGGCGTCCGAGGTTGGACTTGCACTGTTTGAGGGCTCCGCGTCCCGAGGGCCCCATCCCGGAGGACTCCATCTTTGAACCACCGAACGTCGATAGGAATGATCCGGTGCAGAAGCACTACAGGAAGGCGGGCTGGGCAGGCGCGATCACCGGAGCGTTCGGCGACAAGAAGACCATGTACTGCCACCACCTGACAACGAGCAGCGAGTTCGCCGTGCGAGCAGCGGCTGGCAGGTCCTTCAGGACCGAGGCCGAGGTCTGGGAGTTCCTGGGGAAGGCTCCCTGCCATGGCCGTTTCGCGTACGACCGGCACTCCGGCAGGCTGAAGTGTGGTCCAGTGAAGGAGAAGGACCACGACAACACCAACAATGCGGAGACCTGCCTCTTCACCAAGCTCGGACTCGAATGCCCGACTCCCGCCTGGGCCTTGAAGGACTGACTGTAAGAAGACGGTCGGTGCTCGAGATGCGGCTGCCTGCCTGCCTTCTGACCACCCTTGGGGGCTGGAATGCGGGCCTGGCCGACTGGCTGGCTGCTCGAGATGCGGTCGAGAAAGAGCATCCAGCGATCGGGATAGATGAGCCACACTGTTGATTTACCGAGGACTCTGTGGTCGCCACAGGGCGGAGGAGCCTTCTTGGCTTCCCAGAAACTCTGGCGCGGTCGCGAGCCGTTGCTGGAGCAGGAGGAGGAGGAGGAGGAAGAAGAGGAGGAGGAGGAGGAGGAGGAGGAGGAGGAGGAGGAGGAAGAGGAGGAGGAGGAGGAGGAGGAGGAGGAGGGAGGACACCGGGGGTGATGGACCAGGGCCAGGCAATGAGCATGCGCAGCACTGCTACGACTCGGTGGCTCGTCGTGTCATGTGCGTGAACGCTGTTCGCACCTCAACCGCATCAAGGGTCTTCGCAAAGAGCGGTCCAATGTGCACTTCTAGCATCACATGTTCTATCCTGAGCTTGCGTCGTCGCCTGAGGGGAGCAGGAGGTTGATGGACATGGTCGGGGGAGACGTCCTGCCTGCACGCACAGTCAGTCGTCCTGTCAAGGACACAGCAGCATCGGCACATCTTCGGTATCATATATTTCAAGCACTCGTCGGCACACGAATGCCCAGTTCTGATGGGCCAGTCTGGTGGTGGTGGGGATGATGACACGGAGGGGGAGGAGGCCTGTTGTAGCTTACGCTGTGCTTGTTGCTTCTGTTGGCACTGTTACCTCGGCATGCTATGTACCTGTCACCGCACCCACTTGCTCTGCCGATGCCGAAGCTGCACGCCCCCCGAGCCGCGATTTTTCGATCCGCCCCGAGTCGCGACTTTCCCGATTCTCGAAACCGAGCCGAGGCGCGTCGTTTTCCCGGCGGCGCCCCCCGGGGGGACGGCAGCGGGGGGGGCGCGCCTTCTCGGAGGGCGCAGCATGCTCCTCTGGCCTTCTGGGAAGCTTCCTGAGCCTTCCCCGAAGCCAGAGAGGGCTTCGCAGATGGCCAGGGGCTTCTGAGCAACCCCGCTGCCTTGTGAGAACGCTGGCACTCCTCCTCCCTCCTGCTCCTCCTCCTCCTCCTCCTCCCTCTCCTCCTCCCTCCTCCTCCTCTCTCCTCCTCCTCCTCTCATCCTCCTCCTCCTCCTCCTCCTCCTCCTCCTCCTCCTCCTCCTCCTCCCTCCTCCTCCTCCCTCCTCCCTCCTCCCTCCTTGCCCCCTCGGCG